GACAAATTATGTTGCAAAATGGAACTCCTATATGTACGTAAAACAGGCCCATCGCACCTCTTGCTGTGAAACGATGTACGCTGTCATTAATTTGGTTTTATTTTTGTCTGAAATTTCTGCTAGTGAACAAATACCATGCAACACGAGGCCAGATTTATTTAGATTACAATTCTATAGTGTAAATTAAATAAGATATTTCTGACCGGACTAATATCACTTTACTAAAATCTATATCAATCATTTCACTGTAAAATCTCAAGGAACAGCGACTCTATCTGTAAGCATGAAGATACAAGCGACATTCTCAGATTTAATTCGTACCGAACTCTAGTCCTTAATGATAGTAAGCAACAATAGGAGTTGTTTATTGACTTTATTTTGGTTTCAGACTTGACTCCTGATATATCTGTACTTAGTCTATGTAAATAAAACACAATCATTTCAAGTTCAATATAGCGCCTGCTCCAAACCGTTGCTTCAATAACCGGCGGACTTATTGGTCGTAATTCTATTACAGGGAGTATTCTGTATTGCTGGTTTCGGCTGATAAATTTAATAACCATCACGTGTTATCAGTAAACGAAGAATACTATCAAGAACTGGTTAAACTGCCGGATAACTGCTAACGTTAAAACCCGGTCAGTAGGTTTCCAACAGACAATGGCGTGGGTCATACACATATACCCTTACATAAAGTCATTGAAGGGGAGCTCACTCTGTCATTGACTTTATATCCCAGAGTGTTAATTAAATCTCAAGCCGTCAGTACTATTCGCTCTGCTTTGTTGCACTTGTCAAAACAATTAGATAAGATGCAGGATTGACATCATACAAGTTAGGACAACCTCGAAATAGTAAATCTTTGGCGTCAAACGATAGTACATAATGTTACTCTGTAAACACAAAGCGAGGACAAATTGTATCGGGAAAGGTCAGCTAAACACACTGTAAATACAAGACGAGGACAAATTGTATCGGGAAAGGTTAGCTAAACAGCAGGATAAGGAAAACATGTTAGATGTCGAAACAGAAATACTGTTTTACTATGTCCTTCCGCGTGTAGTGCATTTTTGTAGCAAATCAGAAATGTCGATTTGATGACGTCATCTAGCGGCAGAGCGACACACAACACTCGTAGTGACCGCGGTAACATGTGTGGCCAGCTTAACGTCATTTCCTAGTGTCCTCCACTACAAGTGTAAATGTCATATACAGGTGTGTCGTTTGTTATGTCCATCTGTTCAGACGATACCTATTAACGAACAGACACGCTCAACATGAGATCACTTACTTGTTTACAATACCTCAAGGGAGTCACGTGATCAAGCGAACTACAGGAATTTGAACCAAGTTTACAGCTGAAGTTATAAAATATTTCCTTTCGTAAGTTTAATCAAGATTGTTGTGTTTACACGATTTCTTAACAATTAAATTTAATGTTGATCTGACACACTATATAAGACGAAGTATATGTAAGAATGTTCTGTGCGTATCTTTCCTGACGAATAATTCGGGGGTTTCCTGGTGTAAGTTCCTAATTCATGATTATACAAACATAATTACTGTTAATGGGAAACAGTGAGATAAGTTTTTATATATAGCTGACTAATTAAAGTACCCATACAGCAGGTTAGTCATGACGTCACAAGCTGTTAAATCAATGTTGCTGCACAGGGGAGCACGGCTGTGAGTGGCCAGTTCTGTACAGAGCTTTATGTCATCTTCACAGTAGCTCAGAGATTTAAAGTCTGGAAGTGAATACTTCAATTTGGGAAAGGAGTCAAATTTCATTTCAAGCCTGTTTTACTTTCTCAAATATTGTGGGTTGTTTTGGCAGTTAAGTATCATTGTAACCGAACGTCAAAAACTGTGTTTATTCTACATATGTCTGGTTGAAACAGGGATTGCGCATAAGTTATTGAAAGTATATTAAGACCTCTCCCGCATATGTGATAGTCAGTTTAAACAAGTTCCTGTTAAAAATAAGCGAGTTCTGAGTCAGAAATCACACGATTGATGGAATACGGTTATTGCATCCCCAGAAAGTGTTATATTCTACAACATGTCTTTTCTCTATGGGTTTAACTTCGTGGATCAATGTTTTTTTTCATATAAATAGCCAGTTCTCCTAAAACAGATGTATAATTTACCTGTATATATAGGGGGCGGTAGACGCAGCCTTGTAGAAGTTGGTGCCAAGAAAACTACATAATTATCTATTGAAGTATACATGAAGATGATAATATTCCTTATTACCTGTTTCACCTTTATCAGAAATAAGTACACTGTTTCTCACCCAAGTCTCACAGAAGTCGGCGTTATTTCTGTGTGTTTCCTAAGCATTGCCATAATTCACAAGACAGCAACTTCTTTCACGCCGAAGAAATCTTTATTTTATATTCTACGCGTCATAACGGTCCACACAGAGGTATTGAGACTTTCAGAAAACATACCACCGGAGTCTTACTTAAACCACAGACAGCATTCTCTCTAGCTCAGTGAACCGTCCTTCATTTTGGCTTTTATGTTGTCCAAAGAGCTAAGTGAACGGATGTTGTATTTGCTAGTTATTTGTTTTTAGATATTTCATTTTTTTAAGTTTCTCGTTCAATAATACTCTCAAAAAGATATCTTGAAATCTTATAATATCCATTTGTTAGAATAGTGAACATTCGAACACGATTCACTGTAATGAGGGACAGTTACAGCCGTACCTGGTGATCCCGCGCGAGCCTCGCGGTGTATGTGATACATTTGTCTATCACACGGCAGGCGTGTGTCGGATTTAGCGTGACGAAAATCGCTACGCATGGTAGCCTTAAACATTCCGAGGAAGTATGCAGAAAAAAGGATGGAGGTATACATTTACAGGGGAAAAAATCAAAAGTAGGGATATCACGTTAAGGTAGGTAGCGATTACTGAACGTCTCTGTCATTCTACCGATATTAGTGTGTTCTGTCTTAACTAGAGTAGATTCACACTGCACCAAAGGTTTACATACTTATATATAACATGTCTACTTGAACGCGTTTGTTGGCCTCAAGGTGTATAGGTACTGAAAGTCATATAAGGCAGTAGTTGTTTATACGCAGGAACTGTTAATGATCACTAATCGAGCCATCAATAATTGTAAAAGTGACAATAGATGAATCTAAGATCAGGCGGTGTAGTTACTAGAGTATGACAAGACATAACGTACTTGACAGTAGGAACAGTAAGAACAATCACTGTGACGATATATAACAGATCCAGTCTCAAAAGTAATGAATGATGAAATCAATTACTATGACAACACATGACGTAATGGATAACAAGATCAATAACTATGACAACACATGACGTAATGGATAAAAAATATCTATTACTATGACAATACATGACGTAATGGATGACAAGATCAATAACTATGACAACACATGATGTAATGGATAACAAGATCAATAACTATGACAACACATGACGTGATGGATAACAAGATCAATAACTATGACAACACATGACGTAATGGATAACAAGATCAATAACTATGACAACACATGACGTAATGGATAACAAGATCAATAACTATGACAACACATGACGTAATGGATAACAAGATCAATAACTATGACAACACATGACGTAATGAATGATCAGATCAATAACTATGACAGTACATGACGTAATGAATGATTAGATCAATTACTATGACAACACGTGACGAAATGGATAACAAGATCTATTACTATGACAACACATGACGTAATGAATAACAAGATCTATTCCTATGACAATACATGACGTAATGGATAACAAGATCAATACCTATGACAACACATGACGTAATGGATAACAAGATCAATAACTATGACAACACATGACGTAATGAATAACAAGATCTATTACTATGACAACACATGACGTAATGGATAACAAGATCAATAACTATGACAACACATGACGTAATGGATAACAAGATCAATAACTATGACAACACATGACGTAATGGATAACAAGATCAATAACTATGACAACACATGACGTAACGGATAACAAGATCAATAACTATGACAACACATGACGTAATGTATGATAAGATCAATAACTATGACAGTACATGACGTAATGAATGATCAGATCAAATATGACAATACATGATGTAATGGATGAAAAAATCAAATATGACATTACATGACGTAATGAGTGATCAGATCAAATATGACAATACGTGATATAATGGCTGATAATGGCAAATATGACAATTTATGACGGTAGGCACATAAATATTTATTACAATGGTTATAATTTAATGGAGAGTAATAAGATTTAATATGACAAAACGTGACGTAACCTGGAGTAAGAAAAGTTACCATGACAACACGTGACAAAGCTATGCGACGATACAATAACGTAAGTACATTTGATCTAATCCGTTATTGGAATGTGAACAATTAGGCGAATAGTTTCGAACTGAAAAACAGCAACTTTTTTTCCAAACCAAAAATCGATCGAGCGTCTATTGAATTAAGTCATTGTAGAATAAGAATACTGTAGAGATAGCAACGTCAAGATTTTTCTTGATGAGCACGCGCTGCGTAGGTGACGGTCGAACTGAAACCGGAGTCTAATGAAGCTATCGACACTACATCAATTTGGTAAGGCTTCAGAATCACCTGTCATCAACACATCTCATCCACCAGCCGTAATAAAATCACATATTGATTCCTGAGGGTCTTGATGGTTGATCTCGTATCAAGTTATTATCAGAGTTATACAACACACAGAACATGAGTCGTAGAGAACACAAAAGACGAATAAAAAAAGAATCGAATGTCTTTCTATGAACGCAAATGGCAAACGATGCTTGGTCCCGTCGTCATAGACTACTCCCACATAACAAGATTAACCCCGATCCATCTGTTCACTCTCTCTGTAGCCGAGTATTTGTATTGTTTTAGACTGGACAACGTAACGTGCTGGTCAAGCTATTGCTAAACCTTTTGGAACTGGTCAAGAAACAATGTCGAGGAGTGTTAGTAAGGAAAGACTATCGAACTCCCAGAATTCCCTGTCAATCACTGACGTTGATGTAAGGTATGTACAGCAAAAAAATCACGTGACGTTTAAAATAAAACAAATGAAAATAAAACTTACCATTTTGAACTAACAGATTTTTACCTGTTATTGTTCTCAGGGTCGCGCTGTAAATGTTTTACAATTTGTGCTATGATGGTTTCCAATACTGTGTTAATTAAGATTTTGTTGATCTGTCGAAATCTTATCGATGGTTTATACAAAGCATGTCCTGTGGTAAGTGTACAGTACATTGATGTAATATACAAGAATTTTTATGTAAAGTCGTGTTTTAAACAAGTAACTTCAGCTCAGTAGAACTATTTTCACGACTATTAGAAGATGGAGGCCATACCTACCACATGTTATACCATACAGTGTAGATTTACGTAGTACCTAGACACACCAGTGGTGTACAAGGTGAACAATTAAGTTTTAGACTACAGGAAAACTACTAGTGATGAAAACCTGATACAGGTGATCTTCTCCAATACAGGTAATAAGCGGTGTCCTATAGTTACCTGTGATTATTATCTGTGGTCTGTCTTATGTCTTTATCTGTATCCTGTTTCAATGACCTCAATTTTATTCTGATGTAAAATCTGATGAACTTCATGGCTGAATTGTTACAAACTTGCAGTGATTATTAGAATTAAAAAAGAACGAAGAATGTTTGATGAACAAAAGTCATCCTGTTTTGAGAAAAATTTGTGTATCTTACAGAGTTTACATAGTTAAGTAAATGAATAATTCAAATTATCTACTAGTCATAATCTCTCTCTCTCTATATATATAGAGAGAGAGAGATGTAACTTAAAGAAGCTTTGTGTATCGATTAACTAGTTGAAAATAATCAAATCAACTGTTGATTTGATTTTTTTTCAACTATATATATAAGACAAAATAATTTCTCAAACTTATATACAAATATAAATAAATATGAATAAGTTAAAACATAAATAGATAAAATATCAACGCTTACGATTTACCAGAGCATTTTGTTAAAGAAATGTATGAAAAAATGAGAAAAATAAAGAAGTAATAACACTAGAATTTCTGACGGTATGAACTTTTACAGGATTCATTGCTGTAACATAAAGATAATTTAATGTTTACATATATAATGTATATATAATGTGTGTCCGGACACTAAGCCTGGTCACTTTTGGCTCTTTGTAAACAATCCAAATTACAAGTGTATTTAGCTATGAAGTGTGTATCTGATATATCTACAAGTGTCCGACCTATATATTAATGGCTTAATTAGGAAATATACTTCGTTGTATTCTTATAAATTTAGGAAAAAAATAAACCCTATTCCATACTTATTTATAAGTCATTTCTAAATTTATATCAACCACGATAGAATCGCACAACGTGCGCACAAATGTGCTATAGCTTAGTTCGTCTAATTTTCCTATCGTGCGCAAATCGTGCAGATATTGTGCGCACATGGTACAACGTTGTGCGATCCCACATCTGTCGAAAAATACAAAGTTTCTTAATTTTTTAAAATAAGTAGCATTAATTAATTTATTGAATTTAATTGCTTTATGTCTCTTCCTACAGTATCTATGTGTCGGATTCTGTAGTCTGATAATGATGGACATTTAAGTAGGTAATGAAAGTCGTCACCAATTTCTCGTGTGTTACAATATCGCCATTTCTTCTCATTTTTTAATAAATAACACACGATATACCAGTATCAGAGATAAATTCGGACGATAGACGCTGATGGCCCTTTATACGGAGCGAAATACCATGTTAAGCTGTTGTATGAAAGATGTTGACTCAAGTTTTTCTACTATACTCACTGAGCTTAAATATGTGATCGCCGAGAAATGTCTGTGTCACACTCTGGTACATGTCGGTTCAACTCGTAATGACCAACTGTTCATTAGTATTAAGATATTTTACTGTAAAGATTTTAATAAATACATGTATATATATAGTCAGAGTAAAAATGTTTTTGATATAAACCACGAATTACACACACAATATATATAATATATATATATATAATATAAAGGAGTATTTGAGTATAGTGGCGGCCATTGTAAATATGCTTTAAGTTGTAGAGGAAAATGATTGAAAATACTTGGTTTACAACATATACATATCAATAGAAAAATAAATTATCTTTCCATCAATGTTCGATTTATAGCACTGTTGTGAAGTGTGTGAAGCATTGCCTGAATACTGACCCTAGCAAGGGTCGCTAGTTCTTGGTGGTTTTGTGTGAGGTAGAACCCTGACTATCGACCAATATAAAACCGTAGATAGGTTGTCAGAACTCTTCGGGCTACTGTAATGTGTGCCTTTTAGCTTTTTGTCTGATCTTAAAACTGTTGTGACTGTTTTGGCTGATCGCTTCCTGTCAATGAATTAAAGCCATCCAAGATCCTAACCCAGTAGGCTTTCTTGTCATCTTGTTTCAGCGGACAGAACACATTAAAAATCACCTTTATCAATGTGTTTTTAATTTCAAAACAGTACATCTGACGACTTGATGTGATTCGCTTGAGGTGGGACCACATCATAAACTGCGTATACTACCTGTAATAAAGAATATTTTTGAAAGTGGCTCATGAAAATCTTATTGCATGTTTCTGTAAAAATGAAAGTGAAATTTTAAAATGCTTTCATCTTATTTATATAACATGTTTAATGATTAATCGCGTTGATGAACTATATTGTTTGTTGCCTGGTGATTGAAGCTAGTAACTGTTTCGTGCCAATATGTGAGATAACTACAACAATGTAACACAGTGACACAACATTGTACTAAATGTTGAACCACAATTAGAGTGGCGGGAGTCTTAATATAGTTAATGTGATAAAAAATTTGTCCATTTTGTTGCTTTGCAGGTCACTTCATTTGCACGAGGTTTCTTCCCTTTATAAATCTACGAAAGAAACAAAATAGACTATTGCTCCTTAAAAGAACGACCATTATAATCTAGAAGTATTTTACCTTCCAGCATGAAGGATCCCAAACACAGCAGTACGGCGTCACGTGGTATCCTGCTAGGGCTTGTCCTTTGTCTAGTAGTGATTCTGGCACTAGTTATCGCCCTTGCCGTCATATCTGCCAAGAAGATAGATGACGCTGATGATGCTGTACAAGAAAAGCAATTGGGACAAGGAAATCAACAGTCTGGAAAAGGTAATACATACAAATATTGTTGGTGTTCATGTTTCTTTCTAAAAAAAAAGGTGGTAGGTGAGTGTTAGTGAGTCCACAAGGCATCTATCAATAATTACAACTATTGTAAAAACGCTTTGATTGGCAGATACGGTGAACTTTGACCTGAAGAACGATCCATACACTCGCGAAATTTGATAAATAAGTATTTCACAATTGTTTTTGTAATAATTATTTTCATACGGATTTATTTCAATTTATTGTTTTTGAGATAATAAAACCAATTTGTTTCGTAATAAATCTTTTCCACCTTACTTTGTATATGACTAACTGTCAGTTTGCACATTAATTGGCGGCATTTTACCCTAGTTCATATAACTACTTCTTAACTGATGTAGGTAACAAACACTTTGGTGCAGTGCAGGCCATATCATAGTTGGAATAGCTCTTGTAGCGAAGTAAGGACAGGTCATTCAAACTTGTGGTTTTTCTTCCACAAAAAAAAAAAAAAATGAATAAATAAATAAAAAAAAAAAAATATTCTAAAGCTGTAATTTTGGTTTATTAAAAAAAAATGAGTCGAGTGAAAGAAACACCATAAATAAATAAACTATTTGTTGTTTTACCTCTATCTTTTATATAATATGGAGGAGATACTTTGAAGAGTTATATATGAGATAAAATATTACGGAACCAAATTAAAGATCAATTCATATTAATCGATGTGTGTCTTACTGGAAACTCCTGTTCACTCATATTTACATATTCGAGTGAAGTTTTAGAATGTATATTTTCTCCATCTGTCAAACTGCGTTTTCTATACATGAAAATCATAAATACACATTTTTGATTTATTACAAATCCCATATTTTGATAGGAGGATAATTTTAGAAATTCATTCAGTAAAGAGGTGTATTTATATTATTAAACCTGGTATATTTACTGTCATTTTTATTTACAGTGTACCGGTGTCTCACAGCCGACTGTGCTCGAGCAGGTAAATACTCTACCAATAACCACAGCATCCTTCAACAGTTAAACAGTGTGCTGTTCACATTCTCAAATAAATCTTTCCAAGTAAGCGAGGTTTAGTAACCTTTGGATGCCTCCTTCCATTTAATTACAACATGGCATTTCTGACAAAGTAACAAACATTTGACGTGGGATGTATATCACTGATAACAACCTAAAACATCATTCATTACAGTTGCGTTTGAAGTACTCTTCGTCATTTTCAGCGGCTGAAATGGCGAACTCTATCGACGTGACAGCCGATCCATGTGAAAACTTCCACCAATTTGCCTGCGGACGCTGGGCGAAACGTCACGTGCTGAAACCAGATGAGTCCGTATTTGGCACGTTCTACCAAGTCCGAGAGGATGTAAAGGTTACGCTGAAATGTAAGATTCTTATCGAGGTAACCAAGGTAACAAAGACACAATAAACATGTAACACCTTTGTTTTGTGTATGTATGTCTATACTTTCCCGGGAATAGGTATTGTCTATGGTATTGACAATTTGCCGAATCGATTATACTTCCAGATCTGTTGGAGGCGAAAGTGACGATTGAGGACCCGGAGTCCATAAAGAAGGCAAAGCATACATACCAGTCCTGTGTAGATGAAGGTAATTATCTCCCTTTCCACTTAAATACGTTATTTAATACAGACTATACATGGCTACCATCTTCTTACGATGCTGAAGGACCGATAGTTGATAAGCGACTGAGAAATACTTAAAGACGGTTTGATTTTAACAGGTGAAACACAAACAAATTGTAAACATATATCTAACACGATCAGGAAAAAAAACACAAATTGACTGTGTCCAAGGTGTCATTTGTCCAGGCACCGTAAAAATATTTGTAATTTCTGTGAGAATTACGGCGTGACCTTTCAGAAAGGCATTTCTTCCTTAATTAAAACGGGTCAAGTTAAACTATCGCAGATGCTGACGTAATGGTCTTGACTTATCTTGATAAACATGTCTGAAAATCAACATAGATTAGTACTACAGTCACTTCAGTGTTACAGAGATTGTACAAAAGACACACAAGTGAAAAACAGCTAATAATGTAATTTTAGAATGCGATACCAACATGATCAACTTTTCATCAACATGACGATTTCAGTTTCCCTGCCATGAATTTTCCATATCTGGATAACAATGTCCCTGCATCTTCAACCTACGGTATTTACATGTCACAGGTGATTCGATATTCAAAGGCCTGTTCCCATTATAACGATTTTCGTGCAAGAAATCGTCAATTGAATGACATACTCGTAACACAAAGGTTCAAAAGATGCAGGTTTATGAAAATTATGGGAAAATTTTATGGTTGCCATAGTGATCTCATTGAGAAATATTCTATTTCTTTGTGAAATATGAAGCAGGACGTATTTGGTGTTCGTTAGTTTGCTTGTTGGTTCCGTTGTTGTTTACCTTGTTCTCATTTGAGAACGTGACATTACTTACTTGGAATTTGAGTTTGAATTATGATTGTGTTGTCATGATGGTATTTTCTTGAACAATGAATACAACTGCACGACATAGCCACACTGTCCCTTAAGGACCTGCCACGACCCTAAGGACCTAAATTGTGAACTCTAACAGGCGTAATTTCGTAATTTTAATAATAAGATGTCTGATAACTTTAGAAGAACGTCCAGTACATGTGTATAGTCTGAACCGTGCCATTATTCGAATTAATTAAAACGTGGCATGTAGGTCACAGCAAAACTTGAATACTTAAGACCAACAAACTGTGTCTACTACCTCTAACCTCAAGGGCCTAAATTGTTAACAAAAAAGTTACCAAGAAGTCTATAACGGTAATTCGGCTTGGACGCGATATAATGGACACCGTTCTCTATTTACTCAAAATATAAAAAGTTACGAACTCCCAGTTTCAATTTTTACACAGACAAGAATTCGCAAGAAAACGTCGATATTTGGATTAAGCCCTGTACAATTCAACATAACACCTGTTTTAACTTTCCTTGTTTTATATCATTATGTTGACGTCATCGACATTCATAGTTTACTACATAAGATTAAAATGGACTCTATCGCTTTGTTTATCATTTGTTACATCATGTCTTCACGTAGTTTAGGAAACAAACTATTTTCAAAAGGTCGGATGGGGGGGGGGGGGGGGGGGGGGGGGGGGGGACTGTATTGTTGTCATTATTTGGACCGATAGTCCATCACGGAATCGATACTTGGCGATTTAATCAAGTCTGATTTTTCACAGACGAAGGATATTGCTACTATTGTGGCGCTTCACTCCCTTGTATTTAATTCATGAAAACTGAAAGGTCAGTTGTTGTAACTAGAAATAAATAGGTTTATTTTATCAGGCCTACTACAACATTACAACATGTGTGTAAATGTGTCTCTGTGAAAAAACGTGCGTTCTCATTAATGTAGCTCCTGTATTGTGATGTTCTGTCCTCGCTTTATAAGGTCTATTTCACCTCTCTGACGTATAACGAATTTTACTGTTGAAGTGTACAAAGTGAGACTGCAAATACGAAACGAATATCATCAATCTTGATTAAACTACATGTAGATCTTGGCCGTTCTATTAGGTCAAACAACATCAATTCAGGTGTACATTGTTCTAAATCCTACACAGGTAAACTACAGCAATAGAATGAGTGACTGAACGACAATTCATACCGTCACCATGTCAACAAGAATTCCTTCTATTTTTAGACAAAGAATGTTAACATCTACCCTGGGGACTGATAATGACGGTGTTAACTGAACGGTTAATCAGGAACTATAGTTACATTTCTATTTAGCAAGTTTTAACGACGTGTTCGCTTTACAATGATACAAACCCGGAAAAAATTGCAGAAAATTAATTTAGTTTCTGGAAGAATTAAAATCTTTCATGGAAGAATAAAACTTGCATGGCTATTACGTACAACGATGAAATTTTATTTTTTTATAGAGACAATAGATTCTCAAGGAATCACAGACGGAATAAAATTTATCAATGAGCTGGGAGGTTGGCCCGTTCTTGAGAACTCAGCCGGGGGTCAGCCAAGGTCACTCGGCCTGGAAGAGCTTCTAAAACGGACGAGAAAGTACAGTAACAGGCCTGTTCTGGATATGTATGTGTACGACGACTCTAAAGATATTGAACATAACATAATGTATGTAAGTATACACAGTACATAACAGTATGTAAATAAATATACAATATCATACCGTTATACATATGTAACTTTATGTATAAGAAATACTATGTAACTTTATGTATAAGAAATACTATGTAACTTTATGTATAAGAAATACTATGTAACTTTATGTATAAGAAATACTATGTAACTTTATGTATAAGAAATACTATGTAACTTTATGTATAAGAAATACTATGTATCTTTATGTATAAGAAATACTATGTAACTTTATGTATAAGAAATACAGATGTAATGTTATGTATAAGAAATACATGTGTAAGTTTATGTATAAGAAATACATGTCTTTTAACCCCATTTCCGCTCTTGGTGATGCTCCCCATACTGTCCATACCATTCGATATTTTGACATATCCTGGTCCTGATGAAAACACCTGAATATCTACTCTAGAATTAGTTCAGAGATTCATCAGTAATACAGATCTATTCGATAATTTCTTTTCTATCCCTGTTGCCACAAATCTTGGTCTATTATCAACTGTCTAGCATAGATCGACATAGATCGGTGAATTTTATAACCAGCTTGTCTGTTCTGATCTACGGACCAAACCAGAGAAACTAAATGATATTTGTGTGGTAGTGTTATAATTTTTGAGAATGTGTAGAATGATGGTCAATTTGTAAAGTAGTAATATTTTCATTGTCCATCTTCCATATTACATAATTACATACTGTATCCTAATTGCTAAGTAGATACCCAGATTCATCTTTATGTACTTCTATAACTAAGTTGATGGGTAAACTTTAATTTTCTGAGGAGATGGCATCCACGGATTTTTCTTGTTGCCCAAATTCTGTGCATTAAGATCATTGGATTAAAAATGTTTCTGAATTGAAACTAATCTTACGGGAAATGATGATATACATATAAAAGTAAACAGTTTTTATTAATTAAGTTTGTTTCATTTTCTTGTGAACAGATCGACCAGCCATCACTCGGCATGCCTGACCGGAAATACTTTTTAAATGGCCGCGATGACAAAATGTTGAAAGCGTATGAGAAATATGCTGTAGAATTAGCTAAGGCATTCGGTGCTGATCCCACTGTGGCAGAACAACAAATGAAAGAGATGGTGGATTTTGAAATAAAGATTGCTAACGTACGTTATTAGTAGATAATAAATTTGAACGAAGCCAGTCTATTATCATACATCTGTTTGTTGTGATCGAGTAAACATCACGTGTTTGATTGTTTATTCCATTGATTTATTTATCAAAATATGACTATTAATAACATTTGTAATGTTTATAAATTAATAATGTGATGCTATTAAAAATAATAAATTGATATCTGGTTCAAACTCCAGTTGACCATGCCATCCGACCAGAGAAGAAATGCAGATAAACTTTATAACAAAATGACTGTGGCGACGCTGAAACAGAGGTACCCACAGGTAGGTAACCATGTCCAGTACATTCTGTAGAACAATCTAGACTTTATAACAAAATGACTGTGACGACGCTGAAACAGAGGTACCCACAGGTAGGTAACAATGTCCAGTACATTCTGTAGAACAATCTAGACTTTATAACAAAATGACTGTGGCGACGCTGAAACAGAGGTACCCATAGGTAGGTAACAATGGATAGTAATACCTGTTCTGTATAATCTAGATTTTATAACAAAATGACGGTGACGACGCTGAAACAGAGGTACCCACAGGTATGTAACAATGTCCAGTACATTCTGTAGAACAATCTAGACTTTATAACAAAATGACTGTGACGACGCTGAAACAGAGGTACCCACAGGTAGGTAACAATGTCCAGTACATTCTGTAGAACAATCTAGACTTTATAACAAAATGACTGTGACGACGCTGAAACAGAGGTACCCACAGGTAGGTAACAATGGATAGTGATATCTGTCCAGTATATTCTGTAGAACAGCCTATACTAACTCAGTAAACATGTTCAGTGAAAGACAAATACGTATTTACCTTTGTTTTGTTAATTTCATCATACAATTGTTTATTGTCAAAATATTGATGTTAGAATGAATTTGGCAGCTGGCACAACCTATGGAATATATATATAAGTATAGAGATACATCAATCAAATGATCAGTGAATTATAGGATGGTATTAAATAACACAATACTAAATAAAGTAAGAGTGCAACATCAGAATCTAGAATTTGGGCTAATTGCACAGACAGGGAATGCAACATCTTAGAATCAATTCAACTAGAGGCAATTCACATTATTACTGGCCTAAGACGGGGCACCAGTCATGCAATTCTATATAATGAGTCTGGATTAATACCCTTAGCTAAAAGAAGACACTTACATCAAAATATCCATTTTTTAAAGATTTTAAATAACAGATGCCCTCCTCATGTATTTGACTCTATCCAACCTTTTATAAACAATAATAATGCTCCTTATCCACTTCGACACAATAGATTGTTTGATGTGCCCCATACAAGAACTTGTCAATATAGCACTAGCTTCTTTCCAAAACTCATGAATGAATGGAATGGCCCATCTTGTCTGTATCCCTCATTAACTTCTATTTATGCGATAAAAAATCTTTTTTTATCACAGCAAGCTACCATTCCTCCTTTCCACTGAAATGATACTTTCAAATATAAAGGACAAAGAAAAGCTAACATAATTTTATGTCAACTAAGAAACTCTGCAAGTAATCTGAATTTTGATTTATTCAATTCCCACCTTAAAGTTAACCCTGCCTGTAACTGTGGCCACCCAGTTGAAGATTGTACCCACTTCTTTTTCCACTGTCCCGTCTTTACTAACCAGAGACAACTCCTCTTTAATTCCCTTTCTGACCTTAGTGATTCTTTACCTCCTACAATTGATACATTTCTCAAAGGTTCTCCTATACTTGATGCAAACATGAATAAATTTATTCTTGATATAGTTCAGAGATTCATAACTGACACTGGTCGCCTACTTTAGCAAATGTACATCCCATTCTATATACTTCTATCTTTTCTATCTCTCATTTATATTTGATGTCTCAAGTGTGGGTCCGCCTGTCCATTTTAGGGACTCAGCTCAGGATTATGTGCAAATGGACTGTTTGAACCTGCAGCCTGTCCCACCACAAATGGACATATTTTGACCCAGTCTTGTAATATCTTGTGATACCTAATTTGTATTTTTTAGTTTATGTTACTGTTCTGGAACTCAATAATACAAACGATGGTGATGCCTATTTTGCATTTCGGTTATATAATCATCCATTTGAATCTATCTTCTACATTCTTATTCCTAATATTTTTATTATCTGTTATCTCTAATTTTGATTGATGTGACTGTATACTTGTTTATGCACTGTAAGGAGAGGGCTTTCATAGGCTCTGCCTGTTGCCCAATTCCTACTGTCAATACCACCATGACAATAAAGTATTCTGAAAGAAAGAAAGAATCTAGAATATTTTAGGAAAAGAAAACACTTCCGTCAGTTAGCATTTATAAAGGAAAAGAAATTTATAATTGTTTCAAGAATAAGTCGGAATGTCTCGTTAGATGAAGGCAGGCACAGACTCGCACTGTCCGTATCCTCTCACCAACTAGTACCAGGTCCATGAAGTTGACAAGCGGATGTGATTTTGAGACCATATATAGATCCAGTGAATGAAAAATCAAATTTACTTAAAAGAGAAATCGGTTTGATTTCATCGGGAGCGTCAAATCACTCATAATGACATTTTTACCTGTCATTACAGCAGTAATCACTGATCCTTCTGGAGAAATATGCCGCCATCTATTTTGTCATGTTGATGTTGTTAATAATACACGTGTACGATTGGGTAAGATAATCTGCCTTGTCAGATGTCAGAAGTTCACTTCCGGATTTGTTACAGTTTCAGTGGATGACCTATTTTAACGGAGTGTTGGGCGACGAAAAAATTGGATACTCAGTAACCGAGTCAGAAAATGTTATTGTGGAAAATCCTGACTATCTAAGTAAAATTTTCACCATGATCAACGGAACACCGAACAAGTAAGTACAACCTGTTATACAGAAACATTTTTCAGAATGCTGATACTGCTGTGATTATAAGATGATGAGCTGATCTTCCTCTAGTAAAGGTCTCATGTCAACTCGCCCCGAAGGTGTTGTGCAATGGTGCGTCACGAGCTGCTACGACAGGACGTGTTCCATACTCGAACAGTGTGGCCGTAGACCACGTGTTCCACGCTCGAACAGTGTGGCCGTAGATACGTGTTCCACGCTTGAACAGTGTGGCCGTGCAGTGTGGCCGTAGACCACGTGTTCCACGACAGTGTTCCACGCTCGAACAGTGTGGCCGTAGATACGTGTTGGCCGTATACGTGTTCCACGCTTGAACAGTGTGGCCGTAGATACGTGTTCCACGCTCGAACAGTGTGGCCGTAGACCACGTGTTCCACGCTCGAACAGTGTGGCCGTAGATACGTGTTCCACGCTTGAACAGTGTGGCCGTAGATACGTGTTCCACGCTCGAACAGTGTGGCCGTAGACCACGTGTTCCATACTCGAACAATGTTGTCGTAGACCACGTGTTCCACGCTCGAACAGTGTGGCCGTAGATACGTGTTCCACGCTTGAACAGTGTGGCCGTAGATACGTGTTCCACGCTCGAACAGTGTGGCCGTAGACCACGTGTTCCACGCTCGACGTTTCCACGCTCGAACAGTGGCCGTACGCTCGAACAGTGTGGCCGTGTTCCACGCTCGAACAGTGTGGCCGTAGATACGTGTTCCACGCTTGAACAGTGTGGCCGTAGATACGTGTTCCATACTCGAACAGTGTGGCCGTAGACCACGTGTTCCACGCTCGAACAGTGTGGCCGTAGACTACGTGTTCCACGCTCGAACAGTGTGGCCTTAGACTACGCTTGTCGTTCATGGTATTTCATAAACAGCGTCTATATATTCATGTATTCCGTTGCTCCCTATCACAAATACGTTTGAGACATAAATCGTTTTGGTCTATATCTTTATGTTTTCTAACGGTTCAGCCTTCATTTAAAGAGAAATGTCGCTAGTACTTTGTATAGTGGTTAGTAGTAATTTTATTTTCGCACGAGTCTTTTGTTTTCTTTCATATATCCTTTGTTGAAATGTTTTCCTGGTTATATCGAATTTATGTATAAATTAAGGTTCTGCTAACATTTCGTTAACATGTATTTTTGGGATAAGTGGTGGATGTTGTAGATATAAATGGGCCCCAGGATTTTGAACACAATCTTCATTAATCACTACAATGTAATAGCCTGTTTGGGCTGGTTGGAGAAATGTTTTGATTTAGCAGTCGATCGGGTATATTCTTAATTTCACAATTCTATCGATATGGGGAGTATGATGAAGCTTGTACAAAAGACTTGCATGTTAATAACATCTTTTCATACCAATTCGGAATTATATACAGTGGAGCTAAATAATGGATAACACTGCATCATACTGTTGTTTCGTCCTTTAGGGGCCCGTCAGTGATGTTAAGGACTTACATTTAAAGCCTAGAAGGTAACGAATTAGATCTAATTTCTCAGTATATCCTTTTAACACAGAGAACGAGTGCTGGCAAATTATGTGGTGTGGATCAGTTTGACAAGAATGACCCTCTCGCTTCCAGCTAACATCCGGGCACTGCGACAGGATTACTATGGGGTACGTTTTTTTTTTTTATCAAATATGGTTACTTTATATCATGAAGTGAAAGTTTTGTACATTATGAACGTGGATTCTTGAGACATTATTTACTGAAAGGATTGAGTTTATTTCAAAAAAGATGTTAAACGCACCAAATTTTCAACGCCCTAGCTTAGGTCAAGAGTATTCAGGATGTCAGAATTATCTTAAAACTCGTATAAATAAAACACAGAAATCAGAATATTCGGAAAGCCATTTCCTTACTTTAAAACCTACTTGGGCGCTCATGTGTATCTTCAAGTGTTAGATGGCTGGGTTTGGAGGCTCGTCCATTCCGAAGGCCCTAATTATCTATAATGTTTGTTTATGCTCACCTGCTGGTACATATGAAACTCTTTAGTGTATTATTGGAATCTAACATAGGTTCTGAAAGGATCAAAGACTTCTGAGCCGAGGTGGCACGCCTGTACTGGGGTCGCTAATGACGTATTTGGACTGGCTGTAGGAAAGCTATTTGTTAAAGAAGCATTCGACCAGGAGGCCAAACAGGATGTAAGCAAATTTATTTCACTCAAGTATTGTGTCGGAATACTTGAAACCAAGGAGTTTATTTTTTCATGCCATTTTTTACCACTATTTTCCCCTTCTGTAATGAATTACAAATGTGTAAAATTGTAACAGATACGAACAATTGTATCTATTTTTTGTCAGTAGAAGATGATATTAACAATTTTATAAAGATCTTGGTATGATATAAAATCACAGTAAGTGAATGTGTCCTTCGTTAATGTTTACAGGTTAAATGGCTGAGATCTCAAACAGTTTCGATTTGTTCCGGGCTATATAAGCAATGTTTAAAATAAGTCTTATTCACAGGAAATCTTAATTATTCTCATTAAAAAATGTAACTTGATGCTTTTGGTTTACCGCATGTTTGTAAATATACTTTAATTTGGAGCAATTTGTTTGTTTGGATTATTTGAATTGATTTTGTATTAGTTTTTTATGTAAATATATATATATTCAATTTTGCTATGTCCTTAATAACCGTTTAATATATCTAATATCAGAAAATGAAATTCAATATCATTTTTATATCTAGAAATTGCGATAAATTTCCAAGCCTGAGCTAACAATATTATAAGCGAATATGTGACGTCATTTCATTATTTTAATCCTGACGTCACAATAGATATACAGTGCATTAGATAATACGCAAGAATATTACCTGGTATAATAAGATAATTTAACAAATCATGTGAAAAAGCCTAATCCTATGTATAACATTGTGAATTGTGAATCACAGGCGTTACAGATGATATCAAATCTTCGTTCCGCTATGAAAGGTCTGTTGTCCGAGAATGACTGGATGGACGATGCCACCAAAGTCGTGGCTATCGATAAGGTAATGTTATAGATAAGAAAATTAAAAATTAACAGCAACAATGCCGACATGGCACTGTAATGGTTTTCTTAACACTATGTTTAATCTATGTGGAAGCCATTTGCTAGTTACTGTTTGTTGATATTAAGAAAAGCCTGTCGCATAGACATTCGAAAAAAAAGTTATTATCTATCAAAATTAATAATGAAAACTTCTTTCATGCTTTATCTGAATGGTTAATTTTTTATTTTATTCCTTTCTTTGATTTACTCTAACACAAAATTCATATTAAAAGGTGCTATTCATTTAACGTCTTTTTTACAGTATTGGAAAACGTTTTTTTATAATTGTTATGCCAATGGCGTAACATATTAATATTGAACAATTACGACAATTATTGTGTAGTGCTATAGCAGCTATTTGAAAAAGATCCATTAACATCACATTTGAATCTTGCTGGTATGAAAATTTGAAACAAAGGAGTAGAGTGCGTGGAAGAAGGTTTTGTGAATAAGGTTTCAAATAATAAATTGGTAATGTGGCACATTCCTATTTAACAGTTGAAGGCCATTGAGCCCCGGATTGGTTACCCGGATGATGTCATGGATGATAGCTTTCTAGACAAACGCTACGAGAATGTAAGTAAGAAGTAAAACGTAATGTTTAATTTTAATACACCTGTTTAAAGGATCTTACAAGAGTGTCCGTTATATGTGTGATTTTTGAAGTTAGTCTCAGAGAATTTTTCATGAAAGTGAGCCTATGGTGTGCGCAAATGAAAAGATATGTTTGAGTATACTATGACAGCGAAAGGAATGAGATATCCTCTTTATCACTGGATCGGACAAACGATTCTGGCAAATATTGCTGGAAACGCGCTTATCCATGTCACACTTGGTGCTTTTTCCGTCTCTATAAGTGATAATATAAGCTGCTAATATATGACTTTAATTTATTTTCTGATGCAGACGTCACAATAGGTGACATATTACATGAGAACATATTACACAGATATAATCGCTTATGTAAATGGCCATCATGTAATGAAGTATTTGTATATTACATGTCATAATTAATCATTTCAGTAAATATATCTTGTATTGCCTTTTGAACTGTCTTCTGGTCATTTGTGACGACTAATGTTGTATTTAATGCAAACATGACTCTTAATCTTAATTACTTATACCGCAGTTTCAACATTTAAAAACATATACGTCAACCTTTTAACCTATATCCTTAATAAGTCTGCCTCCAACTTGCTTGTTGAAAATTGCTGTCAGATGCTCGCTTTGCAAAGTTGCCTCTGCAAAGAATTAATTGTCTTGTTACTTTTCAGCACACAGTGATTGTCAATGCTTATTTCAACAACACATTAAACTCTAGGATGAACGGTGCGTACTATAGCCTCCGCAAGCTGAGAAAGAACGTTGACAGACAAATGTACGTTTTAGATCATACTAAAGACTTTATTGATTATACCATGTATTCAAATAGCGTATCTGTTCCTTATTTGGATGACCCTTGTGATGTCACGTGATAAATGAAAAAGCGCCTCGTAAATGTCTAATATGCTGAGCGTCATACAATGTATGAGACAAAGGGGCAAAACTTTACCTTTTGTTAAAAATTACTACCAAATCAAACAGAATCATATTTCTTTAATTTTTATTATTATAATTATCATGATTTCATCGTCAGATTGTTCTTGGTATTAGTCATATTCCTCAATTTGAGAACGTGACATTGTTTGGATTGATCAAAATTTACATGCTGGGTGTCGTCGATGAAGCAGAAGACGCTTACTCTTCTGGAACTCCTGGTGTTTTATTCTCATTCTTTTTCAAGACTCTTTCCATGCATTTTTTATTTTGTTCATATTTTGCACTCGTTTTATTGAATTTTGGTTTTGATTGTGATTGTGTTAACATGTTGGTGCTTTCCTCTTGTTTTTATTTTGATGTTGGTGAAGAAATAGACTTTTTTATTGCTCCAGTTCTGTTCATTTAAATCAATGTACTGTTATGGCAAATGCTACGCAACACTTCTTCATTCAATCTTGGTGTTATGTTCCCTTCATTAACAGCCCATAGAAGTGACATCGTTAGCTACTGTAATGATAGGGTTATTCTGCTTTGTAATCTTAAAACATTTATCAAGTTAACCGGTTTTATTACTCTTTATTATACAGCTGGGACACTGATCCTGCTACAGTAAATGCCTTCTACAATCCTCCCAGGAATCAGATAAGTATGTACTTTTTGTCAGGAAACAACAGAAAGTTGACATTAATGTTTAGGCCCTTAGCATCACTGTAGAGTCCTAGAAGGACGAAACAACTCTATATTACAGTTTAATTCATTGTTTGGCTCTACTGTATCTAACTCTAAATTATCAGAAGGTGCTATTCACTTGTTTTGTACAGTCTTTGTCGACGTCGGATGTCGGTTGCTTGTTGATACAGGTGATCTTTCGTCCTAAAACCTAAATACATATTGCCTAGTACATTTTAAAATCCAGACTTAGGTACAGGAGATTGTCTTGTATATGTACACTCTCTTATCAGATAAAAAAGTTTCCGCACCACTTATCAAGCTTAAACAGCATAGATGGCTGCATTATGTCTTAAATTGATTTTGTGTCGGAAGGTCAAAGTTCATGATTTCAGTTATTTATAGAAAAAAGTCATAACAATTAACTAAAGGTTATAACGTTGTCATTTTAGAAATTTTAAAGATCACTGTTGATATCGACATAAACATGATTTCTGCAAGGTTTATACAAGTTTCTTTCTTAATTGATTGAAACTTTCAAGTTATGTAGTAGGATATTGGCATAAACTGCTGATTAAGATATACCTCGGCATTTATTTCTACGTCACAGCGTTCCCTGCCGGAATTCTGCAGCCACCATTTTATCACAAAGATTATCCACAGTAAGTGAGGTTTTTTACTTATTTAATTTATATGTAATGTGAAGTATATTGATATATATTATAAAAGTTAGACATTTATCACTGTCACAGAGGATGGAATGTAAATGCGAACAGGAGGTACATTGGAAATGAAATCGATAGAGAACGTCATTGTTTCGGAACTTCAATGAAAAAGAAAAAAACAATTTTACTTTAAACATTTAGCGAAACAGTAAAATAATGATAACTAACAATATTTTACATCGGATGCTAAATATTGTTCCATTAAAATCCCTGCATTGAGCATCATTCATTCTTATCACTCGATATTACCATACATTTGACAATGACAGAGAAATCGTGATGAGTAATTTGTATCTAGAACAAGGAAACAGATGATGTCTCCGTCAAGAAAAATCTTAATAAAGTTTAATTGTATACATTGATGTGTGTATATGGTCTGGAATTATCTTTCCAGATACCTGAACTACGGAGGAATCGGTTACGTTATAGGTCACGAAATCACTCATGGATTTGACGACAATGGTACGTATTACTTCATTGTTGTTTACAACACTGACGATCGGATAGTTACAAAGCACACACTGGTTAAGATTAGTAACTAATTGTAAACATATTTCCCGTGTATATAACTAACATCATAGTGATGGCCTTAAAATGATGAAAAGTGAAAAGACACTACTGAAGGGAGAGTATCATCAAGTGTTCCGGAAAGATAAGCTTCTTTTGTTTCATCTACATTTATCCAACTCAAATGATAATGCGAAAATTATCATTTGGGATGAAGTCGTTCACTGTAATTGTTTAGCGGGTTTATAATCCATGGCCATGATAAGTCAGCCGTAGAATATACTCTCAGTAAATCACTGAGCGAATTGCAAGAGACCCATCGAATATTTTTTTGAAACAATTGCATAAAAGTAAGCCTCGAATCTTCATCGATGGGTAACCGACCGATCCTAGGTCTCATCGATGGTCTCTCAATCGATATATTGGTGGCAAGTATGATCTACCTTCCGAACTCTAGGTGACATCGATGTTCACTCGACCGCTGTATTCCGGCCTCAATCTCCGGCCTATGTGCCATCGATGGTCACTCGACCGACTTACTACAGCCCCATTCTGTTACATAGGTGCCAAGTATGGTCTACCGACCGAACGCTCTAGTAAGATTCATTGAATAAAGATTTTACATAGCTCTACTGTTTTTTGCGTTATAGATATATATATAATATTGCTACGAAAGTGTGACTGGCTACAGGTTACCATAGTTAAAAACATATCGGAATGGTCATGAATATCTAACACTTTGTACGACTTCTTGTTCTATAAAGGGAGAAGATATGACAAAACTGGAAAACTAAACGCCTGGTGGACAAATGCTTCCATCGCTCAATTTAAAACCAAAGCGGATTGTATGGTGGAACAATACAGTGGATACAGAGTGGAGGCAGCCAATACAAACGTGAGAATATTATACCATGACCTTGTTAAACATTGTATTGTCTCGACCATATTATTACTTATAGTGTTATACAACCATTATTTTTTGTCACACGCAACTTTAGGGAAATTATCATGGTATACGATTATCTCGAAAACATAAAATACGATCCCTGTTTATATATTTCACTGGTATTTTTGTATACCCTGTGCACTCTGTGTTAAATCTTTTCGGTGCTATAATAGAAGAGATACACAATTTACCGCTCACTTAACTGAGATGAGATGTATATACCTTAATGAATTATTTAAGTACATATCAGTGTACAAGTTTGCCGCCATGTCTTTTACAGTTAAACGGTAGATTAACACTCGGTGAAAACATTGCTGACAATGGCGGACTAAAAGAAAGCTTCCGGGCGTACCGGAAGTGGGTCAAAGAGAACGGAGAGGAACCGAAACTTCCAGGACTAGAGTACACTCCTAATCAGCTTTTCTTCCTTAACGCAGCTCATGTAAGTATATTTATGGTCTCAGTGTGAAAATAGAAATATCAATTTAAATATACCTTCAAACCATAGCAGTTTTTATCCTTTACCAAAATACATATCTGTAGCACGAACCGTTGGGACGAAAATAGACTTCAGAGAATGCATTGCAGTTCAGATTTGAATTTTATCAATAATTGTTTTATCCACTTTTTAGGTGTGGTGCGGGATCATTAGACCAGAAGAAGCACTCCGCAGAATTCGGGTTGATGTACACAGTGATGTAAAATCAAGGTATGTTTCGGAAATAAAACAGTTTTTGTATTTGTCTTATGATAGTTACACGCGCACTTCATCTGTATTTATCAAAATTGTGTTAGATATTCTCAGATCATTTAATATATCTTATGAAATTGTTCCTACGTGGTACAAAGAAGTGAACAGAATATGTTTATGTGATCGTATGAAAATACAATTTATATGGTTTGTATGTATATCTATTACTAAACTTACAATTTATGATAAACTTTTAATGAAATCTGACTTTGCAGAGCAAATGGTCCGACGTCAAACAATGAAGATTTTGCAAAGGCGTTCAACTGTCCAGTTGGAAGTCCTCAGAATCCAGTGAAAAAGTGCGTCATTTGGTAAAACTTGAGGCCGGGATTAAAACATTGAGAGGATTGGTAGAACCAGACTGCTACAATCTATATCAACATTGAGTCGCCCGGTAGTACTGGACTGTTAAATTCTGGATTGTTACACCTGGACTATTAAATTACATATCAACATTGAGTCGGAAGGTAGAAATGGACTGTTACATTGCATATCAACATTGAGTCGTCTTGTAGCAAGGGGCTGTTCCATTGTATATCAACATTGAGTCGTCTAGTAGTACTGGGATGTTACTTTGTATATCAACATTGAGTTGTCTGGTAGTACTGGGCTGTGTTACAATGTATATCAACACTGAGTCATATTATAGATATGATGTTCTCAAGGCGACTATGGTGACATGAAATATTCTATGACAACGGTCATTTATAATCCATGATTTTAATTGATATCATTGTCACGATATTAAATTTGTTACCAATACTTGTATGTGTCAAAACACTGCTATTACCACAACATGAATCATACATCGTTGATAAGGCTGTAATAAGATTATTAATTCTTACGATAAGATATATGTATAAACATTTTAAATATCAAAGTTATAAAAATGTAATTCTTGTTATATTTTATTTGATTTATGTTTGACTTTTGTAAAAAAAATCGTCTAGTATGAATAATTCTACGGTATATGGGACATAATTCAAAGGCTTGACGAGAACAATTAAAACACTGAATCATTCCTGTCTTTCCTAGTAATGTATGATATTCTGATTAAACTGTTACACGTGTATAAGTTGTAGTAATTGCCTAATAATGGCTAGCATATGTATGTGCTTAAAATCATATAAATGTATATAATGTTGAGATGGATGGATGTACACTTTTCATTCGAGATATCCGTCCGAAATGTTTTATGATTACGTCCGTGACGTTTGATGATTACGTCCGTATTGTTTAAATAACGTCCGTAATGTTATATAATTACGTCCGTGACGTTTAATGATATGGTAATAAAATCAATTAAAATCACGAACAATGTTTCTCCTATCAATAGTGATTTATGTTTATGCAGTCAGTAGTAATTAACATTGTGTTGACCGATTTATGGAAATCCTGTAGGAAAACCTAGTGACAAATACAATACTGAATACCAACAAAGATTTACATGGCAATTCCTAAAATATATTGGAAGAAGACTAGGAGCTCAGGAAGGCTAAGCGTTCTTCGATTTTTGACGGCATTACGTAAATCTAGGTAAATCCAATTAATGTCAAGCTCCGAACTGAAAAATAGAAACAACAACGCTACGTGTTAATAAAAGTAATGTACTAAAGTTGGTAATAACAAATACAGATAACATAATCTTAATTCAAACACAAATACAATGACACTGTGGTAAAACATACCCAAAGAAATAAATTAAACGGAGACGTCTGAAAAAATACAAGGAGAATTAGACCAGGAAATATTGACTGTTTTCATCTCGACACGAGCCAAATAAATCTTGTCAGTTCAATCAACAATGGCAAACTGACATACATCAAACACGTCAAGATTCATATCGCACAAAGATATGATACATCTCACAATAACATCACTATAACGACCGTAAACCTTCCTTGTCATCAACATGCATCTCCCGAAACCTTGTGTTGTGACTTTAGCTGTCAGTTGCCGCCATCTTGAACAACAAACGTAGTTTTGGGAACAGACCTTAGAATATGGGATCAAGTACGGCATGTAAACACCATAGATTGGAGAAGCAGGTATGTTGCTATCCAGAAATGAAAAATCACATTATAAAAACTGAAATTATCCCCCATATCATACAGCTTGGTGGAAAACTGTCCAATTGTTTTCGTTGTATGCCAGTATCGGGGTATGCGGTTGATGTAGAAAAGTCTCTCCTGTCCTTGATTTCCAATTTTGATGGATATATACGGAAAACATGGTCAATGAGATTTCCTGTTTTAAAAATTGTACAAAATACACGCACGGGAATAGCACCTTTTCATAATTTAAATTGAGAAGCAGTGAAGCCAAACAATGACTGCGACTTCATCAATTGATCAATTGAAACCGAATGATTTTCTGTCCTGTTTCGATAAAATATTCAATGATTTCAGCCTCGTTTGGACATAAAGTCAAGTCCAGAAGACATGGCAAAAGCCTCTGGGAGGATCTTACCACCAAACCCGAATAAGACAGTGTCAACCAGGAAATTGATTATTTTCATGATTTTGTTCTCCGTAGATTTCTTTATTGATTATGATTATCTTAAATTTCAATCCTTGAAATGAATGATTCGTTAATGGTGTTTAACGTGGGAGCGTCTACTAAAACGGGAGATGGACATTATCGTGGTATCTTATCATCTTTCATGGGGGGTAAGCAGATGTTATATGTAAGTCGGAATGAAATGTTCCTTTCCAAATTTGCTCCAGGTTCCTAAAACCTGTAGATCGGGAAAAGTTGCAAACCGATTTCGAAGTAAGTTCTGGAACACTTGATCTTATTCCATTTTGTCAGGGGTATCATTGTAAATATCTTTTTTTTCGATCGAGGGCGAGTAGATTCTGAGCCTCATATTTCAGGGTTTGTCTTTACGCGGACATATAGCATTATTTTTCAATATAATCCCATTCGGTATCTGTACAACAGCCATTCTTTTCTTGACCTTTCAGAAAGCTGAATCAATTCAAAGCCACAATTGTTAATGCCAATGGCAGAATTGTGAACAGTGGCATTGTCCTGGTAGAACAACACACATTTACTGAGTGTCCCGCTGCGCTTTAGTTTAATCTTTTCTCTTAACTGCCTAAGAAGTGATGTATAATATGTGTCATTGATTGTTTATCCCCTTAATAATCAACCATCAGAATACGTTAAAACAATGAATGTCAAGCTGAGTATCATGAAAATTTGTACGTTTCTTGCTCAGAAAGATTTGTGCCACCAAAAAGAATGAATTCACAGTGAGAGGAATGTATGTATCAAGCTGACGGATGAGTGTCATCAGGATCACAGTTAGAAATAAGTGATAGGTACCTTCGATAGGAAAGCCACAAAGTTGTTCGGTAAGTAACAAGACTGGCACTAAATGGATAATTCGTCATTGTACTAGCATGATTTCTTAGTCTTGACTGCTTGATATTATATGTTCGTTTACCGTATAAAGACAAATAAGGTACCTGGAGTAAACCTGTGGTACGAATGATATGTTTGAAAGCCAGACGTTATCCACTTACAATCCGAACCGAAGAAGACTGCTAGATGCTTTTGGTTGTCTACGCATTTAATTCTTACAAGTAACACAAATTTGTTTTATCCGCACCAGTTAAGCTTATATTAAAGATAAACAATATACCGTTTTTGTTTTTGCAAGATTGAATTTCACGCCCGACCCCATCACTTGTATGGCTTATGTACAATCATTGCGAGACTCTTAACATATGTAATAGCATGATAAATGGGCATACAGAGCCTCGTTTTCGTGGAACAGAACATTTGACGAATCTCAATGTATTTATCCGGTAGCCATTTTGTTATATGACTCGATGCACCGAGTAATGTTAAACAAATATATTTTCTAATCAAACCTCAAATAATCCTAATTTTGTTGTAAATATGTTTAAAAAACCGTCATTTTTTTCAATTTCACGAAAAATGTATTTTTTTTTTTTTTTTGGGATATGAATTGTTTACACTTATGCTGTGTTTAAACTCTCTCTGCTTCCGAACACACAAAATGCAGAATCTGCCAACATCTATAAACATGTAAAAGTGTTTGTACAAGTGGTAACATGTACGTACAACACACCAGGCGTATACTCTGTATCTAGTTGAGTTATTAAAAGCTTATATTTTCGTCGTTTGTGTTTGTCCTCACTTCTCCCCAAGTATTTCTGATCCCAGCTAAAGCCGCACTTTTAATATCTACGTAGGGTCAACAATTCTCTCTGGAAGTGTGTCGGGAAACATTTCTTTATGGCCGGGGATAAACAACCCTATCCTGATAAAACTTGTTTATGAAAATAGTCTCCCACTTTAGCCGTTAATATAACAAATTTTAATATTTCATACGCCGATACTTGTATCTTTCATCGGCTATTTTTCACTTTCAGGAATTTTCATCTCAAAACCACTGCAAAATTTAAAGCTCTTGGTATCATGTACAGGTATTTATTTGTAAATGAAACACGTTACTCACCTGACAATGGTCTCCATCTTCCAGTGTTTCTATCATTTTATCACATTGATGTATGGTCTATTTTCAGCGTTGTATTTTCTAGTCTTAATGGCGATTTATGATTCAATCTTTAAGTTATCAAAATCTTCATTTGTAAACGAGAAACGTGAGCTGACGATGCTTTGGTCCACGTGTTTATTTGTCTATGATGGATTTAATCAGGCGGATTTGTATCCATTTTGTCTAAAGTATGTAATCTTCAATGTACATTTTACCATGCGGATCAGTTGTCAGCAGTATCCCTCGATATAATATACCGTACTTTTTAAGGTGGCTACTTTATTATAGATATGATGTTCTCAAGGCGACTATGGTGACATGAAATATTCTATGACAACGGTCATTTATAATCCATGATTTTAATTGATATCATTGTCACGATATTAAATTTGTTACCAATACTTGTATGTGTCAAAACACTGCTATTACCACAACATGAATCATACATCGTTGATAAGGCTGTAATAAGATTATTAATTCTTACGATAAGATATATGTATAAACATTTTAAATATCAAAGTTATAAAAATGTAATTCTTGTTATATTTTATTTGATTTATGTTTGACTTTTGTAAAAAAAATCGTCTAGTATGAATAATTCTACGGTATATGGGACATAATTCAAAGGCTTGACGAGAACAATTAAAACACTGAATCATTCCTGTCTTTCCTAGTAATGTATTATATTCTGATTAAACTGTTACACGTGTATAAGTTGTAGTAATTTTCTAATAATGGCTAGCATATGTATGTGCTTAAAATCATATAAATGTATATAATGTTG